ATAGTTTCTCTAAACACAGTTTTTATTTCCCACTTCTTTACTTGTTTGCCTATCCTTTTAGAGAGAACGCAAAACAGAGAAGACAAAACATGAGAAAAGGTCTCCTCATCTCTCCTTACATATTCACCAATCAAAAACCTATTCTTTATTAATCTAATGTTATTTTCAATCAAGCCAAAGGGATAGTTATTCTCAAGGAAAAAATTATTTTAAGCCGATTCAGTTCATTGTCACAATGGTCTATATCGGCTAGTCTTATGCTCCGAATAATCATATATTTTAAAACCCCAACCTTTATTTTGTAACTATGATTGGAGAAAAAGTCAAGTATAAAGCCAGCATGTGTTGGCTTTCTACAGACATCCCTGCTTAACTTATCACCTGCTCTAATCACAAAGATATCTAAAAAGGGTAACTTATTGTTGACCTCCATCTTCAGAAGATCCGGTCAAAAGTGGGAAAAAAAGATGTCCGCATTTTGGTAAGCTTCTTTTGGAGGGTAGTTCAAACGTGGAATGAACTGTCATGCGCCCAGGAGTTCTCCAAACGCGAACTAAACAGCCTCTGCAGGCGCTTTTGTGCTCAGCCACGCTTTGTCGAATGGCACGACAAGTCTCTCCAACAGAAAAGCGACCGCATGTACACATTATTTTGTACCAACCCGATCTGAAGAATGGGTCAACTTTCTCTCTAAAAGTGGGCATAACTGAGAGAAAGTGTCATAGTTTCTCTAAACACAGTTTTTATTCCCCACTTCCTTACTCGTTCACCGCTCCTTTTAGAGAGAACGCACGAGGGTAAAGACAAAACATGAGAAAATATCTCCTCATCTCTCCTTACGTATTCGAATCTCTTCACCAACAACTTCTACTCGAAATGGAAGTAAGCCTAACAACGTCTTTATTAGACCAGATTTGCCGCTTTCGCGCTGAATGTAAACTGTGTACAGATTGAAGAGGACAACGGAACAAGACGGTGACAAACCGGCTAGACCTTGCATCCAAACTGGGCGCTCTTTTTCGTCTGATAGGCGTATTGTTGCAGCCTCATCTGCCTGACGAGTGGATCCTTTGCCTCACTCCTCAACTCCTCCTCTTCCTCTTCCTCTTCCTCTTCCTCCTCGTCTTCCTCTTCGTCTTCCTCCCTCTCTTCCTCCTCCTCTTGTCGCCGCTGCTGCTCGGACAGCAGACCGCCGCAACTGCCATCAACCGACGTCTGCTTAAGAGCCTTTCTCCGAGTCCAGGACAGCCACAGGAGACGAACAATCTCGCCGGTGATCACGTCGCCGGCGTTTATCCGCAGCGCATGGATCAGAAATACGCCGTCCAGACGCAGAAATTCGTCGACAAAAGGGTTCACGTCGCTCAATTGAATGCGTCTGAACGGGCTCCAAAATGTCAAACCACTTCTGGAGGCAATTTTTCCTCTTCTCCTTCTCGGCTGCTTCATGCGGAAGTAGTAGAGAATGGACTCAGCTCGTCTTCTGCGGCTGCTGAGACGAAAGAGCCAAAGTGGAATGCTGGCCAAGGTGCAGCCGGTGACGATGGTGATCCAAATGTAGAGAAAAATGAATATTTTCTCATTGTACATGTTGATGGGCAGAGCACACATTCCGGTGTAGTCGTTCTGTCTGGCGCCCACATGCGACAGATGGACTTGACAGTAGGTGACTCGTGGAAAGACGAGCGACTGTCGCCAGTCGACCCGATCGGCGAGTTGGTTGGCGAGTCGCAGAGCGAATCGCCAAACCGAGTCCTCGTGGCCGAGAAACTCGCGCATGAGGTACAGTTGAAGACAACCGTTGGCGACGTAGGCCAACTTGACGCAAAGATAGGCGAACAGAGTCCATGTGCCCAGACATTTGCTGACGAAGAGGCAACTGCAGATCCGATCGAGGCGGCGCTGGAAACGAGCCCAGCAACTCTGGCGCAGGTCACGATGCGCGAACAGCAACAACTTGAGGCTGTTGGCCACGCGACGGATGCACATTTTCTGCTCCATGATCGTCTGGGCGCGCAATGCTTGGCTCGCTTTCACGATCAAAGCGGTCAGATCACAGCCGAGCCGGTTGAACGTGAAGCAGCGCCAGACGACGTGGGGCAGGTAGAAGAGGATACACTGTAGACCCAGCATGAAGGGTACCCATTGATAGTATCCTGAAGGGTGGGGCCGTAGCAACGAGTAAGGACAACAAGACAACATGACCAGATGGCAACATGAGAAGCAACCTAGCCCGATTCATCCCATGCGATATCACTTCTGTTGAGTGAAACTATCCGCTTTAGTGACTACAGCCTCTTCTCAATGACATAATCGAAAGAGCACAACTCCCATACAAGATAATGTAAATCGAGTGTGTGATATCGGCGAGCTGTAGCTTGGTTGCTGAGACTGACAAGACTAACTGATGATGCCGACTATGATGCCGGCGCAACGTCTGAGAATGTACCGAGTACACGCTCCCACTCGGTAAATGATCATGCATCCTATGGACTCTGAACAAGTTGCCAAACAATTTATACATAATTAAGTTTTTTATTTCAATCCCATTGTTTTGCCAAGTGTATTATATCTAATTTACTATACATTTAGACAAATTAGTGCCTGAAAATGAAAGAAATGGTATTTATGATCAATATACATGTGGTTATTATTAAAGAAAAACTTAATTTCAGACAACTCCTTAGTGAAATATTGTATTTAAGGTAGGTTCTCGATGCAGGCGATAGCCTAGCACGGGCTCATCGAACAGCAGCGGGAGTGTGAGCCAGCGGCTTTTTCACACAATCCAACGGTCCACTCACTTTTCCTTCAAGATGAAAGTCATGTTACAATATATTAATATATTATATATATAATATATATAATATAATATATATATAGTAATTATAATATACCTTAAACGAAATTGGGTGAATACATCTTATAACTGATTTACTGGTAGTCACGAAAAACAATACTTAAAAAAAATAAAGTAACGTAGTCGATGGTTATAGTAAATATACGTTTGCTTCATCGAGAATTCCACAAAAAGACCTGGCCTTCCTTGAAAATTCACATTTGCCTTGTGACCCAAAAGGGGATCGTGGCAGTGTAGCCGAGTGATTAGCGTGTCAAGCTACCGTCCTGCACTGTCACGGTTCGAGTCCCGCTGAGGGTGTTGATAAGACCAATG